GGTGAGTCTCTTGGAGATGGTATAGTTTTGGGTCTTGTTTTTTTCAGCCTATCTACCAGTCTGTGTCTTTTGATTAATGAGTTTAGGCTATTAATGTTCAGGGTTATTATGGAGATATGATATGTGTTCCTGGTCATTTTTGTTTATTTCTTATTGTTAATTTGAATTAGTTTGACTATTCCTTTACTGTAGTTCCTCCCTTTGCTGCTTTTCATTTGTCTTTCTTTCTTTCTTTTTTCATTTTATCTTTGTTAAATATTTTGTTGAGAATATTCTGAAGTGTAGGCGGGGTTCCTCGTGGCAGGGTTTAGGTTAAGGGAGGCTTTAGGCTCTTTGCTGGATGCTGATTGGTCTTGATCGGCACCTCCAGCACCTAGTACTTGCTGGTCCACTCTGAAAGACTTTACCTCATGGATCTTACCTGGGTTCAACTCGTGGTGGAGAGCCAATTCTTAGTCCCCCTACATCACCTGTATACCCTGTTGTAGGAGACAGACCAGATAGCAGGAAACAGTTTTATTTGGCTGCAGCCAGGTTCAGAGGGCATAGCTTTCGCTGTAATCAGTTAATCCTCTGAACCTCGGGTTCAAGTAGTTTCAGAACTTTATACCCAGCATGTAAGGGGAGGGTCTCAGAAGTTCACAGTCTGTAGAAGTTCACATAGAAGCAGTTTTTTCTTTCACTGTTCTGGGCAGTTAACCTTTCAAGGACAACATCTGAGAAGGGGAGAGCTTTTTCTCTCCTTTCTTTCCTCCCGTAGCCAACTTTTACCATGGAGCCCAATTGATAACTTCTCTTATCTTAGAAATGTAGACATCTCTGTGAAGCTCCAGCTCAAGGCCAGAGGCCTTGTCAAAGGATTTGTCTTTTTATTATCACATTTTACATTTACAAACACACTTTTACAGACTACTATACTGGATAAATGTTTATGAAAAACTAGTAAAGGGGCATTGAGCACCTAGAGTGCTGATTTCTTCCAGGCCACTGGCCAACTACAATAGAGCAATAGGAAAATAGGAAGTTTGCCTACATTGAACTCTTTTTGTAGAGACTCTTTCGCTGATAGACCTAAAATCAATTATGGTGAAGATTTCTGGAGAAGCTTAGTTAAGATTTTCTGTGGAGAAGGGGGTGCCACTACAACCACACATTTCTTGGCCTCAGGTTCAGTTTCCAAACAATCTCTCCAGTCCCTGCCCTTCTGAGTTTTTGGCCAGATACATCTCTCCAAGCTGCTCCTGTAAGCAGTCACATTGGAGGTGGAAGGGTAGAGCCTGGTGGGTTTCCTCGACCAGTTGTCCCTTGAGTAAACCTGTCTCCCCATTTGATTTTCTTCTGGATACTTAAGCACATTCCATGTCGTGCAGCATGTGTTTACTGGGCATGTATTTCAGGCCAAACTTCGTTTGCCAGGAATCTGCCCCTTAAGGTGCCGGCCCTGTGCTGCAGCTGCAAAATGGTTCCTTCCTTTGTCCTCCACATGCCACCTAGAGAGATGGCGACTTATTTCCCAACACACAGCTATCATGCATCATGTCCTTCACGTTTGTTGGAAAATGTCTTTGGTCTCTAAATGCTCCAAACCCACATGCTCTGCACTGCCTCTGAAAAATGCAGGTTCCTTTAWTTCCCTTATCCCTCTACTATGTTCATGGTAGGAGCTTCCGTCCAGGCTGTGACAGCAGCTGTGAGGCTGGGTTTTTTTTCCTTATTATATCCAACCTTTTGTGTCCACAGTCTGCTTTGAATGTGCAGTTTTAGGTTCCAGTACAGCTTCCCTGCCTTTTTTTTTTTTTTTTGGTCACCTACCTTGTGGAGAAGCTGCCCTGTCTGCTTTCTTAGTTTCACACCACGGAGCTGCTAGGAACAAGACCTCCTCTATTCCACCATCTTGAATCTCCTGTCAATCAGTATTTCAGGATTATACCAATATTACTATGATTACTTGCAAAAGTTTGATATTCCTTTGCATTTATTTTTCCTTACATATTCTAGTAAAATGGAAACAATCAAAATCTTGGAGATAATTCCTATGCTATTAAGCTATAAATTTCATATATATGTGGACCTTTTGTGTGTGTGTGTGTGTGTGTGTGTGTGTGTGTGTGTGTGTTTACTGGGGATGGACCCAGGGCATTCTACCACTACATACTTAGCCCTTTTTATTTTGACACAGGGTTTCAATAAGTGGCCCAGGCTTGCCTTGAACTTGGTGTTCCTCCTGACTCAGCCTCTTGAGTCACTGGGATTACAGGCATGCACCACTGTGACTGGCTCATTTTGGAGCTTTTAAATAAAACTTCAGTTCACTGTGTTACCATATTTTCCTATGGATATGACCTGTTTATTTTTAAAAACTATTTTAGAGCATGCGTAGATGCACAGCAAAATTGAGAGGAAGATGCCTTCCTCCTTTATCAACGGCTCCTACTAGAGTGGCACAGTTACAATTGATGAACCTACTTATTCATTATTATTACCTGAAGCCCATGGTTACCATGAAGGTTCACTTTTGGAATTGCACATTCTATGGTTTTAGACAAATTTATGATTGATTGCACATATCTAATGTGATAGTTATTGTACAGTATTTTCATTCAGTGCCTTAAATATTGTCTATGCTCTGCCTATTTATCCCTTCTTCTCCCTTAGTTTATGGTGACCATTTATTATACCCATTTTTTTTTTAAGAATGTCATGTAGTTGGAATCATAACATATTGCCTTTTCAGGTTGGTTTCTTCCATTTAAGATGCATTTAAGTGTCTTCCATGTCTACACGTGACTTGAGAGCTGCTCATCCTCCCCTGCTTCTTCCCCCCATTGTCCCAGGGCTTTGCATATGCTAGGCAAGTGCTCTACCTCTAAGCTATACCCTCAGCTCTGAGAACTCATTTATTTTTAGTGCTGAATAATATCCTATTGTCTGGATATAACACATTTTATCCTTGTACCTACTGTGGGGCATCTTGATTTCTTCCAGGTTGTAGCAATTATGAAGAAAGCTGCTATAAACATCTGTGCAGAATTTTTTCTGTGTGGACATGTTTTTAACTCCTTTTGGTCAATCCAAGGAGCACATTGCTAGACCAGATGGTAAGGTTTGTTGTTGTAAGAAATGTCAAACTGTCTGAGAAGTGGCTATCCCATTTTGCATTTCTTCCAGTAATGAATGAGTCTGTGGTTGAATGTTCTTAATATCTTTTGTTATCACTCTTCTGGATTTTGGTCACTCTAATAAGTATATACTAGTATCTATATACTAGTATCTCATTGTTCTGATTTTCATTTCCCTGATGACATGATGTGGAACATCTTTTTATACGCTCATTTGCTTTTTGTATATCCCCTTTGGGGAGGTGTTAAAGTTTTTTGCCCCTTCCCTTTATTTTAATTAAAACATTTTGCTCTTGCCAGGTACTATAGTATACCCCTATAATTCCATGGCTTGGCAGCCTGAGGCAGGAGGATTGCAAGTTCAGAGGCCAGCCTCCACAATTCAGGAATTCCTTAAGCAATTTAGCAAGACCCTGTTTCACAATTTATAAAAAAAGGATTGGGAATGTAGCTCAGTGTAAAGCATCCCTGAGTTCTATTCCTGATACCAAAAACAAACAAACAAAATAACTATGTTCTTCTTGTTGAGTTTTAATGCTTCTTTTTATATTTTGGAGAATAGTCCTTTATCATTTGTTTGCAAATATTAAGTTCTGTGACTTGTTTTTCATTCCCTGGGCATTGTCTGTCATGGATCAGTTATTTTTAATTTTAATGAAAATGAAATCCAGGTTATCAGTTCTTTTATGGATCATGATTTTGGTGTCATGTAAATTGATGTGTAGTTTTTGGTGTCTGCTTTTGTTTTCCCGTCAATACAAATAGATACACACAGTGTGCGTATATATGTGTAAGTGTATACCTCCACACTGATACATCCTACCAATTATTTACTACTCTGCTGTTTTTTTCCATAACACTAAGTTCCAGAGACTACTCCATAGTGATATATGGATAGATTGCTCATTCCTATTTGCAGTTGTATATGATACCTAATTGTGTGGATATTCAGTGTGTTCTCTAGTGATAGACAATTGGGTTGTTTATCTTCTGTTTTTAAAATAATGTCATGTGTCTTTTGTGTGTGTATGTTAGGAATAGAAACATAAAAGTGGATTTATTCAAAGAGTAAATACATGTATTTCTGTAATATTCATTACAAAATTTCAATCATTCAGTAAATTGAAAGACTGCTATGGTGAATACTTCATACCTGTCAACTAGATGTTACCTAATGGCAGTATTGATTTACTAGTTGTTTGTTCATCTTGCTGACTGTATATTAACTATCTTAATTTATTTTTCAAAATAAATTGCAGGTATGTCCCCCTAAATATTTCAGCACATATACCAGCATTAATATTTATATATTTTCTTTCTTTAATATAAAACTTAATATCATGAAATCTGCAATTTCTAAGTGTACATTTGCTGATTTTGATGAATGTGTATATCTGTGTCACCCAAACCCCCAGTAAAATGTAGAACATTACCATCAACCCAACAAGTCTTTTATGCTGCTTTTCATAGATTGAGGGTCCTTTCCCCTTTTAATAGTTAATCCTTGACTCTGCACTGTCAGAAATAACCATTTTGAGTGTCTTTTGACATGTATTCTATAAAGGATTTTGAATGTATTTTAATCACATGTTGAATTAATTTCCTAAGGGACAGTAGAGAAAAGGTGTGTGTGGAGTTGGGTGAGAGAGAGGGAGAATAATTTGAGGGGTGAGCTATTGTTAAAATTTTCCTTTTTTTTAGTGTGTATTCCAAAGGTAACAACACATCGTTTTCATTTTTCCCCCACATTTTAAAATTGATGCATTATAGTTCTACATAATGGTGGGAGTTGTGGTTACATGTTCATACATGAAAAAAATATAGTTTTGCCAATATCACTCCACAATTTATTTTTAATATATTTTTTCCTAATTTTTCAAGCACCCCTGCTACTTTGGAACAGAACTACATAGTTTGTGAGCTGCAGCAAAAAATAAGTGTGCTGTATTCCTTTTTGAGAAGTCATCTGAAGAAGAAGAGTATTGTGTTTTTCTCTAGTTGCAAAGAGGTACCAACTGTTTATTTTTCTTTCTGAACTTACTCATGTTGAATCATTTCCTTTGAGATATCAAATTTCAGTTAGGCAAATATTATATTGTATGAGACACACAGTGCTAGGTGAGGTGAGGGATCCATAGATAATGAGAATCCTGTGTTGTTATAAATAAATCCATGGGTGAGACTTTTATCTCCATGAGGGCAGAAACTATCAGTCTTCTTCAATATTGTGCTAGGTGCTAATAATCCTGGAAACATAGTAGCCTCCAGTAAATATTGGTAGAATAAACAATCCTTAGCTTGACTGAGCAGAGGCTTTCATAATCTGACACCTTTCCTACTCTCCATGAATATGGAACTGAATATGCTTGCTCTCTCTTTTTCCCCCCCATGTCTCTTACCTTTGTTCATACTGATCTATTTGGGCTACCCTTCTTGCATCCTTTCACCCACATACAGGATAAATATTTGGTGCTCTTTAAAGCTGAGCTCAAATATTATACCTGAAAGTCTCTCTCTGACTCTCTCTGACACTCTTTTAGAATCAACTATTCCCTTTCCTATCTTTTTGCAATGTTTTGTTTATATCCTTATTTGGTTAATAAACACTTCATGAACTCTTGCCCTGTGTTAGGAATAGGGGATTCAGAGATAACGTGAGAACATTTCATCTCCTTCTTTTTTTTTTTTTTCAATATTTATTTTTTAGGTGTAGGTGGACACAACACAATGCCTTTATTTTTATGTGGTGCTGAGGATGGAACCCGGGTCCCACCTGTGCTAGGCAAGTGCTCTACCGCTGAGCCGCAATCCCAGCCCCTCATCTCCTTCTTTAAGGATAAGTGATTATGGTTGATTTTTTTTTTTTTAAAGAGAGAGTGAGAGAGGAGAGGGAGAGAGAGAGAGAGAGAATTTTTAATATTTATTTTTTAGTTCTCAGCGGACACAACATCTTTGTTGGTATGTGGTGCTGAGGATCGAACCCGGGCCGCATGCATGCCAGGCGAGCGCGCTACCGCCTGAGCCACATCCCCAGCCCCAATGGTTGATTTTTGTATACCACTTTTCATCTGTATTTCAGATTTTTGATAACATATGAGCATATAATAGATCAATTCTAGATCTATTCCCTAATAATAGTTTACCAAAAGTATGCAGGTGAGTTTCCCTCCAGCTTCTTGAAAGGCAAGTAGTGGTCTGTTCTGTTGTCCACTGAACCCTGTCCTTTTCCCATGTAATGAATGACTTCAGATCTTCTTAGTATCTATTTTAGATTTTCAAAACTTTGTCTCCTAGATACTAAAAGTATTTTCAGAATCCTTTAATGTTTCTACTCTGTAATGTTTGCTTTTTTCTTTGCCACAGTGGATAGTTGTCTCTCCTTGTGTCAATGGCCCACCCTTCTTGTGTGCTCCATTCCATTTTGCAAGGCCTTTGCCACTGCAAATGTCTCCTTTGTTCCACATTTTCTTTTCTCCTTACTCTTTAGCAGTGCCAGTATTAAGGGGGAAAACCAAACAAAACATATCCTGTGTCCCTTTCCAGTCACTGCCTTTTTCTCTGCTCTTCACAGCCGTCTCTTCTAAAAACTTACTTTCCTGGCTGAACCACTTTCTTACCTCCTGTTCTTTACTAAGCCCTCCACTGAATCAGCCCGTCAGAGAGAAAGCTTTCCAGAGTCAGTGCTAAGTTATCAGTCTTTATTTTTTTTGTCCTCTCAGAAGCATTAGCTACAGCTGATCATTCCCTATTGAAACACTTTAGGCTTTTGTGACTCCACACTCATTAGCTTGTCATCCCATTCTGCTTTCTGACTGCTCTATTTTGAACTCCTTTGCTGAGTTTGCCTTTGTTTGACCATTGCAATTGGAGTGCCTCCGACSTGTCTACTCTGCCCTTTTTCCATCTCTGCCTTCTTCGTGGGTAAGTTTATTAGTTTTATGGTTATAAATTCCACCTGTATGCTAACTGGAAAATCCATGTATCAAGCTCTCACTTCTTCTCTGATCTCCAGATTTATGTATTCCCTTGGATACTTCCAGAGATTACTAGAAGGGGTTGCAAATAGAATATAATAAAAACAATTTAAGAGTTCCTGTTCTTGGATCTGTTTTCCACAACTCTTTTCTATCTCATTAAGTTACAGAATCCTTAATTCTTCTCTGTTTTAATCCCATACTCAAGCTGTTGATTACTCATTAGCTCTACCATTTCTCATCCACCTCCACCTCCTCTATTCTAGTGCAGTATGGACCACGCTTAACCTTCTCTTAGTCTCCTATTTCTTCCCTCATTCCCTCATTTTGTTTCCTTTAGTTTTTCCACTTTATAGCCAGAGTGATCTTTGGAAAGTCAACACGAGAATAATCATTGCTTTGCTTAAAATCCTTCAGTTACTTTTTCTGTCAATTAGAATCAAACTCCATGCTTAAAACCTCAATGACTTTATTCAACAGATGTCTTTCACTCCAGCAACTTTGTTAAAAAGAGCAGGAATTCAAAGTCAATCTTGGTTCAAGATTCAGATTTACAAAGTTTTCATAAACTTAATTTATACTTTCTAATTTTCCACATATACTTTTTCTAAGATTGATTTGCCTGAGAGTGCATCTGTAGTCCACAAGTCTCCTATTAACTATTTCCCCTTCTATGGTGCCCCTTTTTATATCTTTACAAGAAAAAGGAATAAGTCTATTTATCCTTAATCTTGCCGGTACCTTATTTCAGAATCAGAACCTCCCTCGCATTAGAGAATTACTGTTGAGAAAGTGAATGACACTAATGATTGGGTAATAAGTCACTGTGTAATAAGGGTAATAAGTCACTGTGGTTTCCCATTCTTTATTTTGAATAGAATTGAAGAGAGACTTAAATGGAGTTCTAGCTATTGAGATATTATAAGTAATCTTTGGTCATCTGTCATTGTGATTTTTTTGGCAGATTTTATAGGAGTTGAAAGGGATAAGCCTTTTTTTGAGTCCATCTTCTGTATTTATGTAGATAGATTTTATTAATTTAGTTTAGAAAGAGAAATTGGGAATAAAATGCTAAACTGTCTTATCTAGCAGTCCATACAATACGTTTAAGAAATATAAATACAAATGAATTAAAACCAAAAAATCTTGGTCTATACATTGAGATGTATTTACAGTACAATTTTTTTTTTTTTTTTGATACTGGGATTAAACCTAGCCTTTTTCTTTTTGTACCAGGGATTGAATTCCAGGGGTGTTTAACCACTGAGCCACATCCCCAGCCCTTTTTTATATTTTATTAGATATAGGGTCTCGCTGAGTTGCTTAGGACCTCGAAAGTTGCTGAGGCTGGCTTTGAACTTTTGATCCTACTGCTTTAGCCTCTAGAGTTGCTGAGATTACAGGTGTGTGTCACCCTGCCTGGCTAAAATACAAGTTTATTTATGTCTAATGTCTATTAAACTCAACATCTTTTATTTTGGTCATTTCTGTGTTCATTATTGTAATAATTGCTTAGTCCGACAAGAAAATTAATACGGCCTTATAAACATAGGAAATTAAATGTAACACTAAAATTTATGAAATAGAATGTGATCAGTAAGGAGCTTTCAGGCTTAAAACCTAATATGCAGTTCTATGAGGTCAGGAACTAGAAATGAGTTAAAGGAGGAAAGGGAATAAAATTTCTGTAAAGAAGTGTCTTTACATATTGGTTACTTTGGTTGTTGGCCTATAGTTCTATTTAGAATGCATTGGACATTTGTAGAAGAAAAAAAAGTTTTAAAACATTAGTTTAAATAGAAATTGCCCTTTTATAATTATTTAAATTTGGAAAGATTTTAGATGTCAACTGAAATATATTTTTCCTTTCACAATTCTTTTAGGAAATATGAGAGCAAAATTGTTTGAAGACCCTAAATTCCATTTGCCTTTTCTCTGCTCCATATTTAACTTTTTTTTTTAAATTTCAAACTGGCAAAATTTGTGTTCTGGATGCATTTTCAGTGCATTTTTGCTGTTTATCTTGTAAGCCTTACTGTTGCCATCCAGAAGTACCAAACTCATTATTTTGTTAATGCCTAGGTTCAGTACCTGTACCGAGTTTTCTGCCGGCTTCGCCCTGGTATTTCTATCCTTGCTCTCCATGGTCGACAACAACAGATGAGAAGAATGGAAGTCTATAATGAGTTTGTCCGAAAGAGAGCTGCAGTACTCTTTGCTACGGATATTGCAGCCAGGGGGCTGGGTAAGAAAACTTACTACAATGAAATGTCTGTGATCATGGGAACCATAGTTTAATTTTAAGGTGTATTTTTGGAAATCTAATGGATTTAAATAATTGGACTTTTCTTGTGGGAGAAATAAGTAAATAAGTTAATTAACATTAAGGATGTGTCAGTGAAACATTCTGTAATATATGTATCTTTTGTACTTTTACTATTGTTTCATGATATAATTACATCATAGTACCTGATGAGTCTGTAAAGCCAAAGGAGGGTTTAAAGATGTGAAAAAAGTTCCTTTTTTAAAAAAAATTGGAAATGTGTTGATATAATAATTCATTTAGTGAAAATCTGTGAAGTGCATCCTTTTACCCTTCTAATTTTTATTTAAAAATTGCTGTTTTAAGCCAGGTACAGTGGTGTACGCGTATAATCCCAATGACTTAGAAGACTGTGGGAGGAGGATCACAGGTTCTAAGCCAACCTCAGTAATTTAGTGAGACTCTGTCTCAAAAGAAAAAATAAAAAGGCCTGGGAATGTGGCTCAGTGGTTAAGCKCCCCTGGGTTCAGTCCCTAGTATGTGGGGAAAATTGCTGTTTAATGTACTTAAAATTTAAAAAAAATTCTRTGATATTCATGTTTAACTTATGGCTTTGGAGGAGTAAGATGGGAATAGAAGTAGAAATAGTCTAGAGATAGGAATAAGAGGTGAGAATAAATAGGTGGTAGCTTTGTTTTATTGTATTTATTAACTGTGGCAAATTTCAAACCTGCACAAAGAATAGGTCCTATGTACTCTGATACACACATTACTCCACTTTAACAATTATTTTTATCATGATCATCCTCCTGCCTCTGTCCTAAAGCACCAGTTTGTTCATGTGTGACTACAGATAGTAGCCAAGTATGCATATTTTAAAAACTAGTTTTTACTCAGCCCAATGACAATTCCCCTACAATCTGCATTGTTCTTTGACTATGTAGTTTTGAAACATTTTGTGATTTTTCTCCCCCAAATTATATCTGACTTTTGAACTTAAAGTAGTTCCAGGTTAATAAAAGCATGTTTTAAACTGAAGTTTATTCCTTTTATGATCTCATTTTGCAAAATAATAATTCAGAAAATTCACACATAAACACAGTAGCCACAACAGATAGTAATATTTTGTCACATTTTCCTTGGATTCTGTTAAATATTAATTGATGTAGTCCTTTTTGTACCCCCCCCCCCTCATTTTACTCCTATACCTCCTACCAAACAGTTACTATCATATATTTGGAATAGAGCCTTTAAGTTTTCTACATCTGGTTCAGTGAATTGTAAGGTAGAAATTAATTAGCAGGTCTGTGAACTGTAAATAGAGTTGGGGAAAATATGTTTTTCACTAATCTTTGATTGAAATTTAGCTCTATGAATGTAAGCAACAAACTATCATAGTTTTAATAGTTCCTGTGACTTTGTCACCAGTTAAAATCATATTTTCATTACATATTGTTATGGGTATCTTGGAAAATTATTTATACTTACATTATTAACTACATTATAGTGCTTATTAGACCCACAATGAGGTTGTGTTAATGTTTTAGTAAGTATATACATTAGTATATAAAAAAATAATAAAAATATTTTATTGTAAATACTATAAATATTTTCTCTTATAACTTATGTTTTGCTTTGTTGAAATCATTCTGAGATGGGGGTTAGAGTCTTTAATTATAGCAAAAAAAGGATCAAAAGCCTCAATTCTGGTTTATTAAAAGTACTTTGTGGGACTGGGRTGTTGCTCAGTGGTAGCATGCTTGCCTARCATGTGTGAAACACTGGGTTTGAGTCTCAGCACTGCATATAAATAAATAAAACAACAAGTAAAAAAATATTTAAAAGAAAGTACTTTGTGAATATATTATCTTAGGTGGTAGAAAAACTCTGTATTATAAACAATAACGTAAGGACTAGTCTTTAACTTGCTCTTGAGGTCTTTCCATGGTGATGTATAAAGATTTAATGTGTTTATATAGTGTCACATAGAAAGAATTTATTCAGTTACATGTCTCTTCCTATAACAGTGGACACTTAGGTTTTCAGTTTTTGTACATAAAAATGTGCAGTGAATATTCTGAGCTTTCCTTGTCCCCATCCAAGACCAATTTCAGAATACATTTGTATCTTCTAACTTTATTTTAGTTTTAATTTTATTTTTTAATAAAATTATGTGGAGTAATGAGTTGAAATGAACAGACCCTGCTCTAGCCCTCTTTTTTCCCTAGCGGCAACTATTTAAAAATCTTACTTGGTTTCTAGCTCTATTTAACTAAGTAATCTTATACTACCACKTAATGACAGCATGTTTAGAAATTACTCAAAGACTTCCTTTTATTAACTCTCACAATTATCTGTCTTCTGCTAATCCCCATTTTTTTATATTGTTATATCATGAGTTTTGGCTAGATAAACACTTTGTGTTTCATTGTTTTGACTATAGTTCCTACTGAGGGAAGTAGTACTGTTTCCTGTCTCATACTGTTGTTACAAAATTTGTTTAGTTTTATGTGTTCCCAATTCTGAGTTCTCAAATGTTCTAGCAGTTACATGCCTAGTTTTCTAAGAGTGGAAACACAGTTCTAATTTTCTCTTTATTACCTAGACTTGTTGACTAATGGCTGTCATTGCGAGGGGATTTGGACAAAGTCTATTATTTTGTGGAGGATTTAAAATGTTGAGTTCTATTCGTTTTCGAATATTTAATTCCTCTAGATAAGGGACCCTCAATCTCATATGAATTAATCTTGCTGTTGTCTCTGGGGAAGACTAGCAAGGAAGTTGGCACCAAGGCCTTCCAGGAAGCATGAAGACTTTGCCTCAGGATCCCTTTTTTCACTCTGGCTCTGTTGCCCTCCTTTCTGCTCTATCTGGTACCCTGGGGTTTGGAGCCCTTCGCTGGCAAAAAACTTTTCTCCAAGAGACCCAGTTAGGTAGGTGAGGTAGGAGGCCTGAGTTTCAAGTGCTGCTTTCAATCWGTTGATAGCCCTGCAATATGCCTTTCCTTCTGACTTCCTTTTGAAGTACCTTTTACTTCAAGTTCTGAGAGAATTGCTTTAAATGTTTTTCTTGACTTTGTCCCTGTACTAAATTTTAACCTTTCTGGGTAGGTTGTATCACTTAATACTTACAGGTATCAAACTCATTATCTTTCAACATTTTTTTTTTTTTTTTT